TTCTCCCTCTCCCACTCCCCCTGCTTGTGTTCCCTTTCTCGCTGTCTCTCTCTCTCTGTCAAATAAATAAATAAAATCTTCTAAAAAGGGGGGGGGGGAGAAAGATCATCAAATGATGGAGAGGAATTATAGACAAGCACTAAGTTTTCCTTAACGTCATCAGAAGACCAGAAAAAGAATGAGCAAGGAAATAACTTTCTCTCTATGTGTTTCAGTGTTCTTTATTGTGAGATCCCCCAAACCTCTCAACACCTTGAGAACTGTTCCAAGCCTAGCTTCTACAACAGCAGAAAGTTGGATCAGCCAGGGGTACTGGTCAAGGCCAGACAGGCTTGGGGGTTGCTGGGGAGGGTACTGAGATGTGCTTCCTGGAGAGAAGAATCTGGCCCATCAGCTAGATGGAATCACTTTACATTTGCCAGTGCAGTCCCTGTTCCTCCACCAGCAGGGACACTCACATCTGGGTTCAGTGTCCTGACAGTAGTGCTCAAGTCAAACTGTCTGCATGATCCTGGCCCTTCCCTGACCAACCCTGAGATGTGAACTGGCTACTCATCTCTCTGTACCTTGGTTTCTTCATCTGCATCATGGAACCGCTATTGGTGATTCAATCCACTTCACAGAGTTGCTATTAGGATTAGGAGATGGAGACAGAATAAAGTGAGCGTAATGAGAGCCCAGAGACGGCATCTGCCATCATAAAAGCATAGTACCAAGTTCTGCTTCAGAATAGGCAAGGCTTCACAGTTTCCTGTTTTGTTTTATCTCACTTTTAGCCATGAACTAAATGAGAACCAAATTAGTTTTACTCCAATCAGTTAATAGTTTCAGACAAATGGCTGGAATTTGGTGTGTGCAAATGAAATTAAATCACAGAATGTGGAATCGGGAGAGGACCCTAGAGGCCACTGAATCAAGTGGTTTTCTAATGATTTTTGGTCCAAAAACGCTTTCGTTAAATTCAATCTCCCTGAAGATGCTGATGTTTAAGCTGAAAGAAGCAGCTCAGGTCTGGCTGAGGCATGCTGGGGAGCCCTGTGCCCCTATGGGAGACATGTAGGGTGACTAACCATCCTGGTTCACCTAGGACTGCCTCAGCTTTAGCACTGAAAATCCTATGTCCTGGGAAACCTCTCAGAACTGGGAAAACTGAGATAGTATCTGAGGTCCCTTCAAAGCATTATTAGAACATCACTGTTCAAGCACCCCTACTCCACCTCCCTTTACTCCCTGTTATGTACTAAATCGTATCCCCCCCAAATTTAGATGTTGAATATGACTATATTTGGAGATAGAGCCTTCACAGAGGTAATTAAGGGAAAATGAGTTCATATGCTGGGCACTAATCCAATATGACTGGTATCCTTATAAGGGATTAGGACACAGACATACAGAGGGAAGACCATGTGAAGACCCAGAGGGAAGATGGTCATGTACAAGCCAAGGAGAGAGACAGAATCAACCTTGCCAATACCTTGATCTCAGACTTCAGCCTCCAGAACTGTGGGGAAATACATTTCTGTTGTTTGAGCCACCCAGCCTGGGGAATTTTGTCATGGCAGCCCTAGCAAACTAGTACACTCCCATTTTACAGATGAAGAAAATAAAACCCAGATTGGTGTCACGACTCTTTACAGGCAATGCAAGAATGGGAATCCAGGCCTCCCTGGGCCTGATCCTGTGATCCTTGTTCCACAGAAGAGAATGGAGGGAGTCAGCTGGTTAACAATGGTCCTGTCTGACCAACTGCATCAAATATTTAAAAGTTCTGTGGTGGGAATACTCCCAATCACATGGAGGCTAAATGCCTCATGAACCTAATGGATGGCAATCTCTGCTCCCTTCCAGAACAAAAATAACTCACCTAGAGGGACTCATCTACAGTTAGCACCAATGATGGGTGAACAGAGGGAGGACCAGGTTCTACCGCCATGCCCATCACGTCCATCTGGGCATCAAGAGACAAGGTTAAATAAAGGTGTAACAGAACAGATGCACAATAACAGGGTTGCCAGTCCTTCTCTCTTTAAAATCAATACCTGACTCTATCAACACTCTGATGATTGATTAAACAGTTAGCCCAAACAGTGGCTGCTTATACAGCTCTATAGAGGTGGTGATAATCTGCCCTGGGGAGGCAGCTGGAATAGCCCTTCTGAGAGCCAAAAAGCTGCTCCTTGTCAGAATGTTAACCTTGGGGGAGACTGCACTTCTGCCTATGTCTGGGTCTGGGGCATGACAGACAGAGCTGGACCTCATGGATATAGCCAGGATTGAGCAAAGAAGAGCCGGGGGTGGTTTGGATTGAAGAGATGAACCTGAGACCTCAGGACTCTGCAGAACCTCAGAAGTCCCTGCAGAGGCACCTGAGCTTCCTGCAATCCCTGAAATGGGGCCCCCGTCATTTATTTGGACTTGAAATGAAGGGATACCTTCATGAGGCTACAAAACTCAGGTTATACAGGCTACTCTCTTTGAAAGATAAACAGGACTAGTCTGTCTTGGCAGAAGAAAGTGATACATTTGTCAGCACAAGGTAGGCTTGAGCAG